AGGGGCGCAGCGGGTTGGCTCGGCAGGCACAGCTGAGGCACGTAACAGGTTTGCGACACGCAGGGGAAGGCAGATCTGGCGCTTGGGAGCTGCAGCACTTCGCTTCCTTCCTCTCATCCTTCCCCCAGCGGGAGCCCAGTAGTCAAGAAGCAAAGACCTTCCTGGAGACGGCCACATCCCTCTGCTTCAGCCCCGTGGGCACGTTCTCCTTGTTTTCCAGCCCGGGCTGCTGGGGCCGCTTGCGGAAGTAGCAGACGCGGCAGACAGAGTGGTACTTGTCTGCTCCTCCAATCACTTCAACCTGGCAAGAAAACAGGGAGAGCGACCCTGCAGAGCCCAGTTCCCCGGAGGAGAACAGCCCAGACGAGCAGGATCGGCAAGATGGAGCTTCCGAAGCGCCCCATGTTCCAAGGGAACTCACCTCCCTCTCCGCTCCCAGCCTCTTCGTGTAGGAGGCTTCTCGGTAGCACTCCATGCACACGGCGTTCAGCTTCACCACGCTCTCCGCCAGCGGGACCAGGTTCAGGATGCTCCCGAAAGCCTGTGCCAAGACAGGAGGGTGTTTCTGTGGGATGGGGTCTGTGAGGATCCCAAAGCAGCTGCTGTACCAACAGGAGGCATTTTACCTTCCTCTGGAAGGTCCCGTCGAGAGCAGCAACGATGACGGTTTTCCCAGCATTGGCCATGATCTCGCAGAACTCCACGATGTCCAGGAACTAGAGGAGGTGCAGAGACAGCGTCAGGAGGAAGGGACAGCGCTTTGCTCAGGATCCAGCAGCACATGCCCGCGCAGTAGCGCGGGACACAAGCGAGCCACGCTGCCTACCCAGGAAACCCAGGCCCACTGTCCTCAGCCTGCTGGGACCAAGGGAAGGGGCTGACTATCCAAGCACAATCCAGCAGGATCAAACAGTGTTTCCCACCCCCTCCTAGAGGATTCAGGCCCTCTTCGGCACGAGGTGCCCTGAAGGGCCCATGTCCTGCGGAGCTGCCCTGGCTGTGCACTTACAAACTGGCCCTCGTCGATGCCGATGACCGCGGCGCCCAGCGCCTCCTGGTACACATCCTTGAGGAGACAGGCCGGCAGGGCCTCCATGGTGCTCCTGTGGGGAAGGCAGGGCGGGATGAGCCCAGCAGCACTGCTGCGGGGCCC